AATGCCACTGAGAAGTAAGAGTATCGCATTTGTGCCTTGACGTTGCAACATCAAACATTTTTTTGCACGATTTCTCCGTGTAACCCCAAGTGAATTAAAGGCTTCAGCCTTTGAGGTATCAGTTTCAAGCTGTTTAGTTATCTTTAATGTCTGAAATCAGGATACTGGTCGGTTGGGCACCTGCTACGCCTTTCTCCCTGCTCCCAGTCCCCTTAAAATAAAGCATGGAACGTCTTCCTCTGTCGCGTAAACTCTGCCTGTGGCTTCGCCAGGGCTGGGGAGCCCTTTGGGGGGCTCCTTGTCTGATGCCTGCTCAGTTCTGACTTTACTCATCAGCAGCCTCTTTGCTGGCTCTTCCAGCGACAAGATTTTCTATAACAAACTTCCTGCATTAAAATGCCCGCATTCCTCACTGGCGCTGTGAACACTGCGATAGAATCTTCTTCGAAGGCAGAATTCCGCGGGTTTTCTCTTAGCTTAGAGACCCGTCTTTTTAAAATGGATAATAAGAGCAAGAAGAGGGCAGAAGGAGTCTGAACAAAATGTTAAAACCCAGGAGGCGGGGAAGATGGGACCTGGACAGTTTTCGTTCCAATCCTGGTTTCCTCTTCTCCAGGCAGTCGGGTAAGCAGAGACTTGGGCCGGGCCCCTTCGCAGACACTCCACAATGCTTTCTGATCTCCGCCTTAGCCCCAGGCGCTCTAACCAGATTCCCTCGCTGGCACCTCCCACGTTCCGCCTTGCTTTATGGTCTGGGGGGCCCTTGCCAAGTTTCCCCAATTAGCTGGCTAGCTCTTCAGCAGGAGAAGTGTGCCTTCCTAACCCCGTGTCCTCCTGCACGGTCCAACACAAAAACTGCCTTCTCCTTGGCTCCTTGGAGGTTTCATTCAGCTGGTTTTCCAGGTTCCAGGAACTAGATTTATGACTTCAAAAGTTTTAAGCCTCTGATGATCAAACAGGTCTTACAAAGTGCAATGAAACACAACTCCTCTAGTAATCGGTACTTGTTAATCTTCTGAACTTACCTCAATCAAAGAAATCATGTTTAATCTATTTCATTCTTGCTCCGTGGCCAGGTTGGTCTCATAGAAGCACAGCAAGATAGTCTGACAATTAGAAGAAATCAATTAAGCCTAATATTTTAAAAAGGTGTGAACACAGTGCGGGCTATGAAGAATACTTATCAAAAGGCTGCCGCTTTGGTTAAGCAGCTGAATAAGGTTTAAGCGAGTGCCTGCACTTTAAATTTCTCTCTTCTGCTACCTTCACTGGGTAGTTGCTCTCCTCCTGGTTACAAGTTGACTGCTGTGGCTCCCAGGGTCCCGTGTTCACCCAGCAACCAACAGGGCTCTCTGTACAGCTGAGGGAAATCCCAGACGTTTTGTTCAAGTTAGAGAAAACTCATGAAGAACTCCCTGAACTCAGACCACATTTCTTTTTGTTTTGCTTTTTAACTCTGGAAACAGCCGGGGTGCAGCTTGTGAAGGAGTGGCGATGGCTCAGGAGTCCTGCAGTCCACACAGGGTAACCTGTCTGCCAGGTGAAGGCAGCCAGCCGCATTTTGGATCCACTGCAGTTTATAATCTAACACTGGCTGCTTCAGTGCACACAGACCACTTCAAATGCCCGTGGGCCAGTGAGTCTGCTGTTCAGCCTGCCATGGTGCTGGACCTAATGCCTGAGCTTGGTGCCTTGCCAACACTGTAGCGTGTATACTGGCACCATCTCCTGCTCCCTGTAGAGGCTGGGAGTTCACCCTTTCTGTCTGAACGGGGTGGAGAGGACTTCGGGCACAAGGAACGATACATGCAAAGGCGTGAGGGGTGGTGTAGGATGTTCTGCTCAGAGCACCACCTGCAACTTGGAGTGACTTGAGTTCAAGGCCTGAGAAGGCCGTGGAGGAGGTGAGACTGGAGAGAGCCTGGAGCCAGAGGTATGCACGGGTGTAGTGTAGACTTCATGGAGGTAAACATATGGCACTGTGGGAGCCCAGGGGGCACAGCTGGGACCCAAAAAGCTCCCAAAAGTCTCAGACCCGGAGCCTGTCTAGGACCTGGGCTCACAGAGGTACAGGCGTTAAATACTGTATTACCCTTGCTCTCAAGGGTTGGTGAGGAACTCCTGGGTTGGGGCAGGGGGAGTGGAGTGCTTGTGCAAAGGGAGCCCAAGAAAGGGAAGACGGGAGTACAAGGCAGGGGAGGACGTCTGGGTGGTGGAGAGGCCAGACCACAAAAGACCTAGACTAAGAGGTTTCTTTTCTGCTCAGTCCTGCAGGCCCTGAGGATTCTGGGTAGACCCCCGATGCCACCACCCAATGCCACCACCTGCAAAATTAAATCCCAAGTCGGCCCTTTCTCTTAGGATTCTGCTACCTCTTAAGGGACAGGGCACTTGAGAATGTAGGGGACTGGTGATGAGACCAAAGATTTGGCAGAAATAGTTGTCTTGTACTGTAATTGCAGTCCCGGAGCTCCCTGTTGAATGGGGGAGGGGGGGATTGAGAAGAGGGAGAGAGGAAAAGAGTGCAAAGAAAGAAAAAAGAGAGGGAAAAGAAAAAGTAGAAACCAATAGGGCAAAACTTCCAAGATTTGTCAAAGCTAAAGAGTGGACAAAGAGAAATGAATCATGTTGTTATTAACATATGTTTCCTCATTTTGATTGGAACACTTTTTTTTTTTTTTTTTTTGACAGGCAGAGTGGACAGTGAGAGAAAGAGACAGAGAGAAAGGTCTTCCTTTGCCATTGGTTCACCCTCCAATGGCCACCGCGCTGCAACCGGCACACCGTGCTGATCTGATGGCAGGAGTCAGGTGCTTCTCCTGGTCTCCCATGGGGTGCAGGGCCCAAGCACTTGGGCCATCCTCCACTGCCTTCCCGGGCCATAGCAGAGAGCTGGCCTGGAAGAGGGGCAACCGGGACAGAATCCGGCACCCCGACCGGGACTAGAACCTGGTGTGCCGGCGCCGCAAGGCAGAGGATTAGCCTAGTGAGCCGTGGCGCTGGCTGGAACACTTTTTTAAAAAGTAACTATGTCTGGTGTAAATTTAGAGTTTCTGCAAAGCTATCAGACATAAGCTATCAAAAGACTTAAAAATGCTCATTTTAAATCCCATAATTCCATGCCACGGAGATGCAGATGAAGATTTATGTACGAGCAATCTAACTTCCATTGCTTCAAGTATGGGATAGCTCGTTTATCTCACTCTGGGGAAGACATGCCAAGTTAACTTCCCAAATAAACAAAAGGAGCTGTTTGGTGATCTTCCCCATATACACTGTCCCTGTCCCAATACAACGAGCAGAGGGTCTGGACACAGCCAACCCTCTCTTGATGACATTTAATCGGCATAATTAACCACCAAAGCACATGCTGATCATACACTGACCCCCAAAGCCCACAAGCTTTCAGGGACTTTTTGCCTAACACACTACTTTCTCTTCAACAGCTGGGTTCTTTTTCCTTTGTAGTTGGCTGTTAATTTCTTGTTACTATCACCTGAACTCTACTGGGTAGCTTGTCTTCTCTCATCCAATCAGAATTTAAAAAAATAAAAACCAAAAACCCAACAGGGTGGCCAAGTTCGTACACATCAAGTCTAAAGTCAATTACGTCTGGACACAGGTTTGGATGTCTCCAAGCAACCGAAGAACTTGACAAAAATGCTTTCTTCTGGGGCCTAGATTGTGGTGTGGCAGGTTAAGCTGCCACTTGCAACGCCAGCATCCCATGTGGTTGCCGGTTCAAATCCTGGCTGCTCCACTTCCAATTCATCTCCCTGCTGATGAGCCTGGGAAAGCAGCAGAAGATGGCCCAAGTGCTTGTGCCCATGTACCCATGTGGGAGACCCAGATGGAGTTCCAGGCTTCTGGTTTGATCTGGCCCAACCCTAGCCATTGCAAGTCTCTCTCCCTCTCTTACTGTACTCTGCCTTTCAAATAAACAACCCTCCTTCTCCTCCCCCCCCCCCCACAAAAAAAGTTTTCTCTGGCTCCCAACTCAATACATCCTAATAAGAGTCTCTGGACCATGCAAGCACTTAAGAGTAATTCTTATGAATCTAAAATTTTGCAGACCTCTGGTTTATAGATTTGCCTATGGAAAAAATGGCGTGTGAACTCAAGGCCATGTGGGGTCCACAGGTGTGTGCCCGAGGCTGGAGCAACTCAGGAGTCTGCAAAGGTGGGTTGTTTCTGTGCCGTGGCAAGTGCCACATATTTCCAGTGGCACTTGGGAACTGCTGTTTTTGCAATGTGGATCACTCAGGGCAGTGGAGGGTTAGATGAGCACAGACTTCCTTCCTGGGGTGCTCTGTTTTAGGATTGGCTGAGATTTCCACTGAGTGGCATCTGCATAATTGACATCTACCTGCATCTAAGTCGCAGGGAGAACGAGTGCAACTGTTACTCACCTTTCCCAAAAGTGAAGCTCTCTTCAAAGACTGCTTAACTTTCATAAAACAAAACAAAACTCTGCTCCCTGTGTACCAGGGATACACTGGCCACACCTCAGTACTTCGTGCCTCTCGGAAGGCACACTTAATAGTTCATGAGACTACTTCACAAAGTTCATGGAAAAATGGCATGAAAAGGCAAGTTTATTTTTGGCACAACAAATGCTGAGATCCATGCATAGTTTGTCCATAATACACATTTCCATAAACTTTTTTGCCACCCTCTTCCATTATTCCAAACAAAAAATAAAGTTCAATGTATTTATTGTACCGCTTTAGAATCTGCTTACCAAAATGACTGCTTTCCTGGTACTCGTGTTTTCTATGTTTATCTAAGTTGTAGTTGTTTTCCCTCTTGAGGGATTATTTTCAGATTTTTGTCTTGTACCTTGAAAGCCTCCAGATGTCTTGGATGCTGATGTTCAGACTCCAGAACTTTAAACTAAGCATCGTTTACTAACAGGATAGCAGCACATGGGCAAAATGCCACGTCTTTTACCCACGAGCACCCTGCCCCGGCTCACACAACAATAACAACAAAACAGCCACTCCAGAGTGAAAATACTGGTATATTTGTATAATGCAAAGAGAAATACAGATATAAATCCTCAAAACGGAAGGTACATTAATAAAAATGTAGCATTATAAGCAAAAAATATCATATAGTACTTGCAGTCTTCCAGTTTAAGATTACGGTGTCTAGCAAAGAGACATTATTTAAAAATGACAGCTCCCATGATTAATTTTAAAACAACCATCAGTAGAACAAACAGCACAGCCTAACCTAGCAAACACTTGAAGGAAATGCTTGGTCTCCCAGCAGGAGGGTACCCTTCCATTCCATTCATTTATACCATGAACCACAGAAGAACACTTTTCAAAGTGGGAATGCATTTCATAAGACAGAATAAAACCGGGCTTCTCAAACCACAAGCCGTTTCCATAGAATGACTAACTTTTTTATTTGGCAAAAAAAAAAAAAAAAAAAAAAAAGGTACCTAAACAACCTCAACTTGGCACTGTGTTCCCAGAGCCCTCCCTGTCCCAGGCCGAGCCCAGCCACCAGGAACACACAGGACGCATGCAGTACTGTACTTTCTCCACACCACCACTGACCAAGACACTTTCCACTCCTTCAGAAGTCACAATTGCACAGAGATGCTTCCGTTCGAGACGGATATAATACAGAGAGCAGCTGCCCCACGGTGTGCAGTAGCGTCAACTAGGAACCAAATGTGACTCGTGACTTGGTTACTGCGTGCAAAACGACTGCCTCCCCCACCGACTCCCACGTCTGCCCCTCAAATTCAACAGCAAACACCAGACGCGATGGCCCAACCCCGTGCCACCACGCTGTCGCGGGCCACACAGGAGGCGGGTGAGACAGCTTCCCGCGGTCCCCTGTTTCCAACGGCAGATTCCCAAGAGATGTAACCGTGCAACCCCCGCCCCCCACCCACCCACCCAGGTTCCTCGTGTCCATGGCAAAACGCAGTGCCACCTGAGGGCGTCCAAGGCAGCTCCTTGGAAGAAACGTCGCAGGAAGACGATCACTTTGGCCTCCATTTACAAGAAAGGAGAAAGTAACCAGGCATGGAGCAAGTGACCCCAGGGCCAGGACGAAGTCACCGCAGGGCCTTTCTGGGGCGGAGAAGGTCTGCGGGGGCTGGGGCAGGCTGGAACACAGAACCTTCCTTCCACTCGCCCCTATACCCCGCCCGGCCATCACCCCCCCCCCCCCCCAAGAACGGCAGCTCTACACAGTTCCGGTGTTGGTCCACTTCAGAGTTATCCAGAAGGCAGCTCGGACACTGCCCGAGGGGACAGATGCGCGGTCCAAGGCGGAGGGCAAGGCAGCCCCAGGAGAGCTCACAGTCCCACGCCCTTCAAGTCGCAGGGGAGCGCGGCCTGTGCGGCCTGGGGGCTCTGGCAGCAGGGGAACTGGGCCCTGAAGCAGTCCCGGAGCTCCCTGTTGAACAAGAAGCACACGACGGGGTTGATGCCGGCCTGCGCAAACGTCAGCCACACTGAGGCCGTTAGGTAGGCCTGTGGCACGGCGCCCGGCCGCACCAGCACCCGCAGGTAACTGGCCACCACGTAGGGCCCCCAGAGCAGCAGGAAGAGCAGCGTGACGGCGTAGAACATCCGGCACAGCCTCTTCTCCGTCTTGAACTCCTCCAGCACGAGGAGGCGGCGCGCGCCGCGGGCCGGCCCCGCCGCCCGGATGCCCACGAGCGCGGGCGGCGTGGGCCCGCGGCCGAAGCCCGCCGTCCAGTTGGCGGCCGCCTGGCCGGTAGCCCCGGGCCCGTGGAAGGTCCAGTCGTGGCTGACGGCGGGCACGAGGCGCGCGGGCCGCATCTTGCGGCGGTCATGGATGAAGAAGAGCAGGCGGAGGTAGACGAGGTGCGTGGCGCCCACCACCACGGCCAGCAGCAGCAGGAAGCCGAGCGCGCCGGGGGCGCCGTCGGGCCGCTGCTCCAGGGCGCACGGCGCGTCCTCGTCGTCGCCTCCGCCGCCACCGTCCAGCACGGGCGGGAAGGCCGCGGCCAGCGCCAGCGCCCAGGCGGCGCACACCAGCATGGCGGCGCACGGCCAGCCGGCCAGGCGCTCGGCGTAGAAGCGGTGGTGCGCGATGGCCAGGTAGCGGGTGACGCCCACGCCGAGCAGCAGGAAGGCGGCGTGGAAGCAGAAGAGCGCGGCCAGGAAGGCGAGCAGCTTGCAGCCCAGCGCGCCCGGCGGCGCCCCCGCGGCGGCCGCGGCCCGGCGCGCCGCCAGCATGACGGCCGGGAGGCAGGCGAGCGCGCGCAGCCCGTCGGCCAGGCACAGGTCGAGCAGCAGGTAGTACGGGGCGCGGTGCAGGCTGCGCTCCCGCACGATCAGCAGCGCGAACAGCACGTTGCCCGCCAGGCTCACGCACAGCAGCAGGCTGAGCGTGGCCAGCTTGAGGCCCAGCGCGGCT